CCGCAGCTCTATCATCAGTTTTCCAGGATCAGTTTTTAAATCTGACTATCTTTTCCTTTGGTTAGTTTCTCTATATTCCACTTATATGTGACACCATCTAGTATTTGACTCTCTTCTGACTTACTTCGTTTGTCATAATTGCTTTTCCAGCTCCATTTGTGTTGCCATGATAGCGTGAGTTTGTTGTCTTTGCTCCCTGAGTGGTGCTCCACTGTGTCTAAGTGCCACGTCATCTTGAGCCATCCTCCCTTTGGGGGCATTTAGATTGTTTCCATATTTTGGCTGTTGTAAATGATGGTGCTGCCAACATGGGTGTGCAAGGTTGCCCTTGGAATTGGTGTTTTTGTGTTCTTTGGGTAGATACCTAGGAATGTGATTGTTGGGTCATACAGGAGATGCATTTTTCATCTTCTAAGGAACTTCCGTACTGTTTTAAAGGACTGAAGCCCTCCAGCAGTGTGAGTGTTCCTCTTCCTCCACGGCATTTGTTATTTCTGGTTTGTTTTGTTTTGTTTTAAATAATAAATTTTATTTTTATATTCCCCATACAATTGCAACCCCCCCATTCTGACCCCAATCCCTCCCCTCCCGCCCCCCACCCCCCAAAAAGTGTCTCTGGTTCATAGTTTTTTGTTGATTTTCTTTCTGAATGGGTCGGTCTCAGGATAGTGAGGGCGTATCTTCTTGTGGTTTTGATTTGCATTTCTCTAACAAGTGATAATGAACATTTTTTCATGTGTCTGTTGGCCCTCTGTTTATCTTCCTTGGAGAAGTGTCTGTTAAGCACTTTTGACCACTTTTTTTTGACTGGGTTCTTTCTTTTTTGTTGAGTCGTAGGATTTTTTTTTTTTTTTTTTTTGTAGATCTTTGCTGTGAGCCCCTTATGAGATGCATGGTGTGCAAAAGTTTCCTCTCACTCACTAGGGTGTCTTCATTTTTAATTATGGTTTCTTTTGCTATGCAAAAATTTTGTAGTTTGATGTAGTTCCAATTGTTTAAATTCTCTTTTGCTTTCCTTGCTGTTGGGGATGAATTCACAAAGACATCACTGCAAGGCATTTTAGTTATGTTTTCTCTGTATTCTAAGGTTTCAGGTTTTACCTCAAAATCTTACCCATTTTGAATTGTATTTTGTGCATGGTGTGAGATAGTGGTCCGTCTGTCCAGGGAGCTGGAACAAAAACAGAGACACAGACCAATGGAATAGAACTGAGACGCCAGAAATCCTCATGTGGACAGACAGTAAATGTTTGACAAAGGAGCCAAGGGTATGTACGCTTGAGCGCTGAGCCCCTGGCCGTTCAGTGGTGCCGGGGAAACTGGACAGTCACACATTCCCACCACAGTGGATGAAAGTACCCCTGTCACCACAACCTTGCCAACACTTTTAAATTCTATTTTTTTTTTATAGGGACCATTCTCACAGGAGTTAGGTGGTATCTCACTGTGGTTGTAATGTGATTTCCCTTACAATCCGTGATGCTGAGCATTTTTTCATATGTGTGTAGGCCGGCTGAGTGCCTTTCTTTTCATTGCCTCCACCAAGCCACCTATGCCCATTCCCCATGTGCCTCTCTGCCCCGTCTCTTCCACCCTTTCCCTGTTCCCTCTGCTAACCCTTCTTTTTCGCCAAGTTCAAATTTTTATTTCTTCTGTTGTTTGCATTTTTTTTTTTTTTTTGGTGTTTTTACTCAGATGAGTGAAAATATCTGCTGTCTTTCACTCTGTGGCTGATTTCACTCAACATAATCACCTCAAGGGCTGTCCCATTTTGTGCCAAGTGCCACCACTTCATCTTCCTTCACGCCTGTGTAATACTCCATTACTCCACAGTTTATAAGGGAGAGCAGGATTCCAGCTTCTGTAGTCCACATGTCGTGGGTGGGTGTTTATGGTTGGGTCTTAAATTTGGGAAGGTCTGTTCTTTCTTTCAGTGAGCTCTGTTCCCTGCTCCCTCTCTGCTTGGCTACCCATTAACTTTGTTTTCTTTTCTCATGGAGGTGATGTTTTTGATGGCATTTCATTTTTCTTAAATCCTAATTCTCTTTCCTGCTCCATTTGAGCCGTTACATTTTCATCTTCAATTTCACAATTCTTTCCTCAGAGATCCAGGCTGCTTGCTACGCCTTCCCTGGCCGTCATTGCGTTCTGTACACTCAACAGCTCTCTTTGGAATTTTTTTTTTTAACAGCAGCAGTCACTCTTGCGCCTGCATTTCCTTTCTTATGTCATTATTATTTTGTCCTGTTTCAGAATGCATTTTATGTATTTGATTTTCTTCGTGATAGTTTACATTCACTCAAACTCCCCAATTCTGTGGCTAAAGTCTGATTTCTGACCATGTATCATTCTCTTTCCTTCTGCTCTAATTCATAAACTTCCTAGGTATCTGATTGTCTTCTTCTCTTTTCCCAGCAGGTGGTACTGTAGCTCAAATTTTGGGATTCTCTTGTTTATTAGTTTTGTTTCTTTTTCCAGATAGTATTTTTTTTTTAAGATTTATTTATTTATACATGCACTGGGTACAGTCAGAAGCGCGGGAGGGTGAGAGAATTCACCAGAGCCAGAGCGGGAAGCAGAGCAGGCAGAAGGACCGAAGTACACTGCTGAGGGGAGCAGCGGGCGGCAGGAGAGGTCTGCTCGCCATGTGGGACCCTCCTCTGGTGGCCGGGGAGCAGCCGGGGATCGAACCGGCGCAGCTTTGCAACCCAGCGCTCAACCGCTGCGCCACCAGAGAGGCCCCTCTTGTTAGCTTTTGTGTGGCGAGGAAGGGGGCGACAGGAAGTAAGTTCCTTCGGCCTCTCCTCTGGGGAGTGAGGGAGGCCACCTTAGGCATAAAGACCCGGAACGGCCCTTCTCCTGTGACTGGACTCGTTCCCCACCTGAGCACAGAGCCTGTGTGTCCCGTTCCCATCTCCAGGCCCAGCCCTCGGGACTCTGCTTTAGCTCCGTTCTCAGCTTCCTTCAGTCCCCGGGGGAGGGGTGGGGGGAGGGGGCTCCCGGCTCGGGTCTAGCAGCTGCCTGGGCACGCCTGGCCCTCCCCCTGCCTGGTTTGCCGATGAGCTGGGCCATAGCTCACTGCAGCTCTGACTCCCCTCCGCTCCGTCACCTGCACCAGCGCTTTCCACCCGCCTTCACCACTGCAGGGGCGCGGTCGGGCTGGCACCCTCTCACACATGGAGCTGATTCTAGTTGTGCTACGAGGGGAGAGTTTCCTGCAACTGCTTATTCCGCCACATCTGTGATGTCAGAAGGATGTTCTCTTTAATAAATTATTTCTATTTTCGTACGACGGACTATAAATATATTAATGAAAAATAGAAAATAATCTTTACTCTTAGTAATGATTCCTATAGTTCTAGAATTAAAGAATTCTGATGGCGTATGTTAGACTTTATCAGGTAGTCTGCATTACATACACACTTAATACTTCCCTATTAAATTTTTAGGACCTCAATGCAAGCCTGAATAAGGAAAACAATTTCTTCGTCCTACATCATGGCGTATCAGTTATACAGAAATACCACTTTGGGTAACAGTCTTCAGGAGAGCCTTGATGAATTGATACAGGTGGGAGACTAAAAAAATTGATTTTTATTGAGAAGTTTCTATAATAATTCTTGTTAAGTCCCCTTTTTTGGGCAAAAAGATATAAAGTTGATTATCTTAGACTCTGACCAATATTTACATGAACACTCTCAAGTTCCTGTGCATTAGGCCACCCAGACTTCAGGACACAATGTATGATGATGGGATGATAAAATTTTGTTCAACATAAAAATTGAAAATTTTCTTCTCATAGTATAAGCCAGGCACATTTTATGTATCTTTACATTAATTCTGCACAAGAGATTAGAATTTTGAATTATATATTTTAGGAGAATTAAATGTTTATATACTCTCTTGTTTAAGAACTTATTAAATATTTCCAATTTTTTGTTCTATGAAATTGGAGATTCATAGATTTCTTAAGCTTTATTATTGATCCTGTGTTTTGTTCTAGTGTTGTAACATCAGTGGATGTTTTAAATTTTTATCAAAATAGCACAAGAAAATACTGTCATGCTTTGCCTCTTACTTGTTGGGAAAATCAGGCATTCTAGTTTATGGGCTCTGGTTAGTGAGTTATATTTTAGATGGTTTATTTTTTTATCTTTAACATTCTTGTGTAAGAGGATTTATGACCTTACTTTTTCTCAGTCTCAACAGATCACCCCCCAACTTGCCCTTCAAGTTCTACTTCAGTTTGATAAGGCTATAAATTCAGCTTTGGCTCAGAGGGTCAGGAACAGAGTCAACTTCAGGGTAAGGATATTTTCTTCAATCTACAAAATTGCACCAAATGTCATTGAAAGTGTTTTAGGACACCTACAAATTTTGCAACTTGTTTTTTGAATAACATAATTATGTGTTTAAGTTACACAAAACAATCTACGTAACAGTAGTTTTTAGATTTTTATTCCATTGTTTCACAAATCAACTTACCTATGTTTGACTACCTTTCCCTAAAGTTACTGAGAATTCAAACACCTGAAACATCTTCAGGATTGAAGGTAAATGCTGGCATAATCCCTAGGGTTCAGTTATGGTTTCCAAACTTTCACCCATTTCAGGGAAATAGTTACTTCTAGAAACTTTATGTTCCCCTCCCATCTGCTTTTATATATCATGCCTTATCAAGACCTGAACTAGCAGTAAATAATGGTCTGTTCTTGTTACGTGGTCTCATTTAGAGGCATTCATTATACTGTGAACACAAACCCCAAAGTGAATATGGCATTGTGAAAGAATCATACCACATTGTGACATTCACAGCATCAGATTGCTTACAATATTTGGGTATTATCAACTAATATACTTGTTAGAAGGCATCACCATAAAGAAGAAATTGGAAGGTTAAAATATATGGAAATCAATGTAGGTAAAGAACATGGATTAATTGTACATTAACAGATACTCAGTGTTTTTTGTGTTATCACAAATGACACAAAAACCTCAAAAGAAAAATATTTATTCAACAGACATTTCAGTGTTTTACATACAAGGCCCCAATTAGCAGTCTTATTTCACATATCTGAAATTCATCTGGAGTAAAAAGTTTATCGGTGAATTCTTGATTCTTAGAACATTAGTTTGCTTTTGTTTGTATAAAACCATGTGTTGAAATCTGATCCTTTAATTGTTCAGCTAAAATGGAACATAATTTGACAATTGCATTTTTTTGCATAGCGCCTCGTAAGTTTTTCTACTTTTCAAAAGCTATACTTACTTTTGGCCAGATTTTTTTTTATTCTTGCTATTTCCCATTACTTATCCTTCTTTATTACAGCAAACTTGATCAGTTTTAAGTCCCAGAATGTTTACAAATAATTTTTGCCAAACTAAGCAAAGTTAAGTGAGGCAAAAAAATACAATGGTAATAGATGTAATTTTCAAAGCCGTTATTACCACACCGCATTTATGTATTCATTTATAATTTAAATTTATATCTAGAATAACATGTAACTTAGATCATATAGTAGAGCTAAAGTTGGTAACTATATGTTGTTTTTTAACTAATAAATTTCAACATAAATTAACAAGACCTTGGAACTTAATGAGAAAATACAGATTGAACTAATATGTGTAACTAGTCTTTTAAAAAGCCATTGTACATTTTTGAGAGCTGTGATTACTTTAATACTTGCTTACTGTTTGAAGTTTAACAGTCAGGAAAGAGTTCTTCTAAACTTTTTTGGATGTTCTTTTTACTACCATTTGGCCAAATGACTGAAAATCAGTTACTTTACCAAAGCCAGATATTACCATAAGAAGGAACTTTTGGAATACAACATAAAAAACAAATCTAAAATTTTGTTCTTTGTCACTAGTGGCTAAATTCAAACTGAAAAATAAAAAAGGTTATTTACTATTAAGGGTTCACCAATAAAGTCTAAAATGATAGATATGAAGCAAATACATTTATACTATAGTAGAATTTCAAAATATTTTTGAAAGTGAATATTCACACACTAGCCATTAATCCCAATGACATGCATTGTTCAAATTTACACAACTGCTTCTACCCATTAGATCATACTCACTCACAGGATCATTGATTACACATAAATTTAAGGATGTCAGTTTATAAGGAGATCGGCCTTATAAAGACCCAGATTTTATCCAAGGAGATGTCATTTTTAAAAAATATTTTGACATTTATGACTGCCCTTTTTTAATGCATTAATCTCACCATTCCACTAAAACTTCTCTTGCCAAGTTTGTTAAACCTGATGCATAATTTGTGATATTTCTGATTAGTTCCTTTGGAAACCTGTAGTTCCCTAATTTTTCCTTCTGTTCTGAGGTGCCTCTGTCCCTCCACCACCTCATCCAATTAGTTGTCAAGTCCTGCTAGTAACACCTTTTAAAACCTTCACTAGCAGACCCCTTGCTGCTACTATTGCAGAGCCACTTTCACCCCTGGGGTTCAGTCCTCTAAGAGGAAAATAAACTTACTCATTAGAAGAATGTTGCATAGGACCATCATGTAGTCTTAATCGCGCATACAGTAATTTATCGTAACTAAGTCACAGGATACATAATACGTTGTCTTTAAAAAATATTTAAGTAAATAGTCAAATGTACTTTCATAATTTAGCCACATGGGGGTAGCAGGAACACAGGTTTAAATTTTCATTCAGCCCTCTTCAGACACTAACCAGTTTGTTAGGGTTTAAATAAAGGGGAGGGGGATTCTATGGTATGTTAAATAATCGTGCTCTTAAGAATTATGTATTGATAGCTGACTTCTCTTAAATGGCTTTGGGGGGAAAAGATTTCTCACGGTGTGTCTAAATGTTTTGTTTTCAAGGGCTCTCTAAATACATACAGATTCTGCGATAATGTGTGGACTTTTGTATTGAATGATGTTGAATTCAGAGAGGTGACAGAGCTGATTAAAGTGGATAAAGTGAAAATTGTAGCCTGTGATGGTAAAAGTAAGTGTTCACCTCATTACTGTGAAAGCAAAAAACTACTTGAAATCTTGTTTTTCTAAGTCTTTAGACACTCTTCATTTGAAATTAAGGTGGGGGGGATAAAATTGGCCAATTATTCATTCCAAGGGAGAGACAGATCTCAAAAACAATACTGACTTTAAGTGTAAGCATTCCATATCAGTTGTAAATCTGCGGTCTCGCTCAGACTTTTAAGAGTGACTTAGAATATTTTATTGGGTTGTCGGAAAAACAAAATGTCATCACTTTTCCGACATCCCAGTAATTAACCATAAGACCTTATCACCCTTACATCTGGGCAAGTATATTTTTCACAACAGACTTAGAATCTTGTTTTTAAAACATTTAAGGACCTGAACAATGACACATCTTGGCTGCCTGTTCCACGATGTTATTTCCTTTGTGCTAATTGTCGCTTAAACATAGACTTTATGATCTGACCCGTGTTTAAGGCAGCTGGCTAGTCCTAATAGTAGATAAAGCTTGTCATTGTCCAAGGGGAGGTCTGAAAAGCAAGAGGAAAATACATTTACTTTGGGATTTCTGCATATGTGTTTTCAAACCCAGTTTACTCACTAAAAAAAGAGGAGCTAAAACCTATCATTTATAAAAGCATCTGGAGACAAATTTCTTTCGTATAGCCCCTTACTGTAAAAGAAAACATACCTAATACGCATATATATATACACATCTGCAAAGATGTCATTGACTATTCATTTAAACCTGATTTTTCATGACTATTAGGACTTTTTTCTAAAAAAGCCTTTTCCAGATAGACGTCAAAAGGTACATGAAACTAGTCAACTTTTAAGCAGAGGCGGCCTTTTAATTGGTCATCAAATACTACCCTCTTTGTCATTATAGTTCCTGGATCACAAAATGATAGTATTTCAGACAACTCTTTCATATTTTTCTTATAATGTAGACTAATAGCATCCTTCTAAGAGGCATCCTTAAAGATCCTTTAGCTCTTTAAGACTTTAGTTCACTATATAGAATTTGAACATTTGCTCATTTTCATGGATTAGAGGTTAACAATATAGACCACTACTGTTCAGCAAAACTTTTTTACTGATACAAATGTTCCAGTTGTACTTTCCAATAATTACATACGACTATTAGCATTGAAATATGCTAACTAACATGTCGCTACCAATAGGCTACCATATTTTATAGCACAGACTGGCAATTTTGATCACTTGACACCATGGTAAGAACCAAAAAGCCAGTAAAGAAAGCCTCTGAGCAAACAATGTAAAAAGCCTTCATGTAAACATGTATTTCTAGCAAGTTCTCAGAGTGTATTACTCGTGTGAAGATACTGAATTTTAATAATCAGATATCAGCCAAATATTTCTCTTGGTATAACTATGGAAATGTGTCTTTTTACCTCTGCCTTTAAATATAATTTAAGGCATTTCTGTGGTCAGCTTACCTGTTCTTCCCCATTCTTCAAAACATCTCCATTAGTTCCTGTTATCTTTTTAAATTAGTCTTAAAATATTTACATTTAAAATTACATTGCTACTTGAATTTACTTTTTCTCTTCTGTTTCCTAGATACTGGCTCCAATACTACAGAATGAACAGGAAAAAAGCTTTTTTTATGCCATCTTCTGTTAGTATGCATCACTTTTTGAAGAGAAGCACAGAAGAGACTTTATTTATTCTAGCATTGCAGAAATGACTACACTGTGCTATACTATCAGAGAATTCCAGTAGAAAGAAGCTTATAACTCTGTAACCTCTCATATAACCTTTATTATACAGCATGGAGAAATAGAATTTTTTTTAATAACAAATCAATTGTTGCCTTCCTAAGAACATTCTTTAATAAATTCATTTTAAAACGCAATGTGAGCAGTAACTGGTAGAGCTATATAAATCCTAGTAAATACATTCATTTGAATTAAACCAGCTTAGTTTTTACCAGTTGTAACTTTAGCTAATGAAAGCATCAGCAGGGCCAAGCCAAATTCTGGATTGGAATTTTTACAAACCCAACAGGTAATCATAGATGTCAAAACCAAGACAAGCTTTAGACAGCTTCCCATAATAAAAACAAAACTATAAAACTACATGACATACAAATGATTTATTGAGATGACCATGTTAGTCCAGTGTTGTACCTCTTACCAGTTCCTGCACTTTAAGTAAAAAATCCTCCTAAATGATAAATGAATGCCGTATGTCTCTGCCTGAAGGGAAAAGGCTTCCCTTCTAGGAATATATAATAAGACTGTAGCATTTCTAAGATAACACACAGAGAGAATGTCAAACATTAGGCAGTTGAGTAATTAGAATTTAGCAACTAACTGTAGATGAACGTGGACCAGCTATTTTTTAAATTAAGGACCTGGCCCTGTTCACTAGTAAGAATAGTCTCTTGACAGTCCCTTCCTGTGGTCAAACGCAATTCAACCCTATTTTAATGGGTTGAAGCTACCATATAACACATGAAAAATCACTTTTCCTGTCTGCTGAGGTTGGCAGTAAACTTCAGTGAAATATTCATAAACCTATTAAAATGTCAAATAGTTCTTTATACTGGACATAATCCCCCACTTCATTGTAGAAGCATGTTCTAGAGTATCATTTTTATGCAGGCAATGCTCAAGTCTGATCTATGTAGCAGTATAATGAGACTTCTGTTTGTAAGATAATTGCCAGCATTGCTTACCTTCATTTTATTGGTGAGACCAAGTTCTTCTATAAAACCCTCAGCAACCCTGGAAGAATTCTGTTCCCTTTATTACATACTAAGAAATAGAAACTTAACCTCTTTAACTTACCAAAGGTTACACAGTTCAATTTTTTTCTTATTAGTCAAGGTCAAGGCCTTTTTACATCAGCAGCTCAGTATAATGGTGAGACATGTTCATAGCATAAATTTAACAAGGGTCATAGAAATTTCTGTTTCTAACAGAAGAAATTATGGCTTAAACTGTTTCCCGATAATGTTACTGAGATCTTAAAGAAGTATTAAACTGAGTTGTATACTATTTAGGAATTTAAAATCCTACAAATGATGTCAGTAGATTATGCTCACAAAAGGTAAAGAAGCTGCACATCATCCCTCAGTGATGAGTCTCTAACAAGATAGACTTAACTGCCTTGACTTAATTAGAGTAATGACAGGCCATTTTCTAAGTGCGCCTGCACTCGCCACAGCGTGGCCATGTGGTCCTCCACTAGTCACAGAAACCTTTGACCCTTGCAGCCCATTCTGTGTAGTGTGTTCGATTCCCCATCTTCCCTACTCACCATCACGTCGGCTGTTGCCCTTAAATTTGAGAAGCAAGTCAGAGCTAAGATTTCCCTTTTGTCATCGCTTGTGCTCTTTCCTCCGCCATGCCTTCCCTTTCAAAATCATCTTACCCATCCTTCAAAAACAAGCCCAGTTGCATGTGAGCGTAGCCCCTATTGACTGCGTCTGATCTTTTACAAATGAGTCAGCCAGTTGTCCGATTGAGAACCCAAATGATCAAAAGCCATGCAGGCCACTAAGATTTTTTTTTTACCTCAATGAGTCATGAAAAAACAGCAGGAAGAATGTGGGCCAGTTCCAGTATTCATTGAGGTCATCTGGGTAACTGGTATGGAATGTTAGTCGTTTACGGATTACATTCTGTCAGTCAAAACCAATTTTGTATTTAAATTAGGCACCATCTACACCTCTGCTTGGTCTGGGCCTGAGTCCTAGCCTGGCATTTCCTTCATCAGATCTGATTACTTACGTATCCATCCCGTGACTGACACTTGCTTGTGGAGCAGATGTTCTTCCCACAGTGGGACGCGGATGGTACTGGAAGAACAGAACAGGGTCATGGAGATCACACCACTTTGTGCTCTCCCGCCTGACCACAGGCTCCACTGATAACCTTACTTCCCTGCTTATGGGGAAGAAAAAAAAATCCATTAACTCTTCTACAGTACTTAGCAGTGAGAGCTACACTTTATGTTATCATATAGTCAGTCCTCTCTAGATGCCTGAGAAAATGCTATTTTAACCCTTTGCACTCCGAACCATTTTATGATATTTTGATTTAATTTCTTGTGCCATTTCAAGATAAAACTTCAGGGAAACATGCATGTCTCAAAAAGTTGCGTTGAAATAACCTCAATTCCCCATAATCACAAATAAATTGCAATGTCCCCTGAGAGGGGACATCCGAGTGATATGCTAGAATTCCGATGTCCCCTGAGAGGGGACAGCGGAGTGCAAAGGGTTAATACCCAAAGAGTCAACAAAAAAGAGCCTCTGGGCTTAACACCAAACAGGTTATTGTTTGCTTACTTACTATAATTGATCTTTAGCTAATTTGGGGAGGAGAGAAAGGCGAATATTTTATCCCTTGGTAGACACCAAAGAATCTTAGTGTTTTGCCTTCAGTTTTCAGTGGTCATAATTAAATTTCTATGAAGTAGAATTTTGACTTTTTTAAATATGCACATAAATTTAAATATTACACCATATATCTCGATTGGGTAAACATTTATTTTCAGCCAAGTTATGAAACTTGGACTCAATAAAACGGTGCACTGTCAGGCAAAGTGGAAAACAGAACTGATATGGTCAAATGAGAGTATGTTACAGGATCCTTAACAGCAGGGCAGGGAATTTTTTATGGGGAATTTGTTATGGTAATTTTTTTTTTTTTTTTTATTTGTTTGTTTGTTCGTTTTTTTTTTTTGTTTCGTTTACACATGCACTGGGTACCGTCAGAAGCACGGGAGGGTGAGAGAATTCACCAGAGCCAGAGCGGGGAGCAGAACAGGCAGAAGGACCGAAGCACACTGCTGAGGGGAGCAGCGGGCGCCAGGAGAGGTCTGCGCGCCATGTGGGACCCTCCTCTGGTGGCCGGGGAGCAGCCGGGGATCGAACCGGTGCCGCAGAGGCTGCGGGCAGCTTCGCAACCCAGCGCTCAACCGCTGGGCCACCGGGGAGGCCCTGTTATGGTAATTTTTTAATGGTCATGATGAGGAGAGACACATGAAGCGACACTGAAATACATGCAGGCAAGACAAAGAGAATCCATGCAGGAGTTAAAAATTAGTTTGACCTAAAAGAGTAATTGTAGATGAGAGCACTCTGTATCTCGGAAATGCCATCAGAAAATCAACAAGAGCTTGGAATTCAGGTTATGATTAACATGGACTTACAAAGCTTACTGACCAGGATGCCACCATTTGGTCACCATAGAGTCACAGAAAAGCATTTCCAAGACCAAAAAGGTAATTAGGAAGAGTAAAATAAAATCCCACAAGCCACAAAATTAGAGTACATGGAAAATATGAGCTGTCCTTCATGGTATTGCCAGTTATTTAAGCATCTTTAAATATGTAAATAAGTCCCTACTACTGTTCACCTCAGAATGTGCTGTATGCAGTTGGTGAGTTGTCCAGTTGAGAATCCAGATGATCAAAATCCACGCACACTTGCTATGAAGATATTTTTGACCTCAAAAATTAATGAGAAGGGGATATGGATAAAATTGTGCTGATAGTTGTTAGAGTTCAGTAACAGATGAGATTCATCACACTCATATTTGATTATGTTTTAAAATTTCTCAAAAGGTTTTTAAGAAATCCACATCCTCTATGTGCAACATTTGGCCTAAAATGTTCTATTTGGGTTTTGTTTTCTCTGTCCACGTTACCTTAATATGGCGTGCAGCGCCCGTGTGGTAGTGTCACAGTTGTGGCTCTCCTGCACAATGACTCGCCAGCTCTTTATGGTGCCTTCCCAGATCTTCCAAAGGAAGATCTTTGTTTTGTCGATCCATTCTAAAAATCCTCCTAAATTTGGTAAACATTCATCAGGCTTCTTTTTTTTTTACATGCTATAGTAATAAGAGACTCCTTTTTTCTAATCCATAGGTATACAGAATCTGCATGTGGGTTGGGGCAAGGCATTTTACCTTGTGACACATACCGGAACTTGGCAATGTGCAACAAAGGACTTGCTTAGTAGGATTAGCTCAAATGAACACCACAAAAGGACTATTAATAGATCTCTCTTGAACAATTCTTTTTTTTTAAGATTATTTTATATAAGAACCAGGGTACAGGCCAGATTCGCAGGAGGGTGAGAGGCTTCACCAGAGACAGAGCGGGGAACAGAACAGGCAGACTGACGAAATACACTGCTGAGGGGAGCAGCGGGCGAGACAGGAGAGGTCTGCCGCGCCATGTGGGACCCTCGCCGGCCTGCCAGCATCAAACCAGCACTGCAGAGGCTGCAGACAGCTTCACAGCGTGGTGCTCAACTGCCTGCACCATCAGGGGAGACCTTCTCTTGAACAATTCTTATTGTCTGATTCTGTGACCTTAAAGTAATGTTCCAGGAGAAACTGGCATCAAAATTGTTTCTTTTTTCCTGAGCAGAGATCTGAGAACATTCTTTTGACTTTTGGAAATGCATAGGTAGCATTGATGCCTTTCCTAAGGGACTGGCCATTCATGTTGTTTGCTCCCTGCCCCCCCCCCCCCCCGGCTTTTTTTATTCATTCTGTTCCACAATAGGTAGTATCACAAAAGACCCCAAATAGCCAAAGCATCCTTGATGAAGAACAGGTCCCTTATTTAAAGTTATTCTACAAAGCTGTAAAAATTAAAACAGTGCAGTGTTGGCATAAAAACAGACACAGCTCGGGCCTCCCCGGTAGCGCAGCGGTTGAGCGCTGGGTTGCAAAGCTGCCCGCAGCCTCTGCAACGCCGGTTCAATCCCCGGCTGCTCCCCGGCCACCGGAGGAGGGTCCCACATGGCGCGCAGACCTCTCCTGCCGCCCGCTGCTCCCCTCAGCAGTGTACTTCGGTCCTTCTGCCTAATCTGCTCCCCGCTCCAGCTCTGGTGAATTCTCTCACCCTCCCGCGCTTCTGACTGTACCCAGTGCTTGTATAAATAAACAAATAAATAAATAAATCTTTAAAAAAAAAAAAAAGTTCTTTAAAAAAAAAAAACAGACACAGCTCAATGGACTAGACTATTCCATATTACAGAAATCACCCCACAAATGTGTGGCCAGTTAATTTATGACAAAGGGCCAAGAATATACAATGAGAAATGGATAGTCTCTTTAGTAAATGGTGGTGGGAAAACCAATCAGCCATATGCAAAAAAAAAAAAAAAAGGATTGAAAAACTAAAACCATAAAAGTTCTAGAGAAAACTTAGGTGATAAGCTCCTTGACATAATTCTTGGTGATAATTTTTGGACTTGACACCAAAAGTGCAAGCCAAAAAAGCAAAAATCAAGTGAGGCAATATCAAACTAAAAAGCTGCAAAGAAAACCATCAACAAAATGAAAAGGCAGGGACCTCCCTGGTGGCGCAAGGAGTTAAGACGCAGCACTATGAAGCAATCCGCAGCCTCTGCAGCATATCCCCAGGCAGGGAGGTGACCCACATGATGCAGCAGACCTCTCCTGTCTCACCCACTGCTCCCCTCAGCAGTGCTTTTGGTCTGTCTGCCTGTTCTGTTCCCCACTCTGCCTCTGGTGAATCCTCTCAGCCCCCACACCTCTGGTCTGTACCCCAGTTCTTGTATGCATAAATTTTTTAAAAAATGAAAGGTAACAAACTAAATGGGAGAAAATATGTGCAAATCATATGTAGTAAGAAATTACTGGGGGCCTCCCTGGTGGCTTAGGGGTGAATTCTCAGCACTACCACGATGAAGGCCAACTGCAATGGCTTGAGTTCCATCACCAGCCAGGGAGATAACCTACATAGTGCAGCAGACCTCCTGTTCCGCCCACTGCATTCATAGATCTGCCTGTTCTGTTCCCCACTCTGTCTCTGGTGAATCCTCTCACCCCCTACACTTCTGGCCTACACCCCAGAAGTGTAAAAATATGCAAAAATAAAATCTCTTAGAAAATGCAAATCAAAATCACAATGAGCTCTTACCTCATACTGGTTAGAATGACTACTATCAAAAAGACAAGAAGCAAACATTGACAAGGATATGGAAGAAAAGGAACCCTTTTGTGCTGTTAGTGGGAATGTAAATTGGTACAACCACTATGGAAACAGTAAAGAGGTACCTCAAATTAAAAGTAGAACTACCACGTGATCCAGCAATGCCACTTCTGGGTATTTATCCAAAAAAATGAAAAATGATGTAAAAAATTAAATTAAAAAAGAGGTAAGTGTACCACCATGTTCACTATAGCATTATTTACAATAACCTAAGTATCCATCAACGGATAAAGAAAATTACATGAGTGCATGTATACATACATACATACTCACACACACGCGCGCGCGCACACGCGAGAATACTACTCAGCCATTAAAAAGTTCAACAACACGGACAGAACTTAAAGGCATTAAGAGAAATGTCAGACAACAATATACTCTATGATCTCAGTTGTGGAATCTTAAAAACTGAGCTTACAGATAAAGAGAACAGATGGGTGGCTGTCAGAAGGGGTTGGATAAAATGGGTGAATGGAATAGTCCTCTCTTTATAGGTCACATCACCACCACTGATCTTGTTTTCACATCCCATATTATTTGCCTGTTGCCCTCAGTCAGCTGGGGGTCTTTACCTGGTGGGGACCTTAAGCTCCAGTCCAGAGGTGTCTAAGTGCTTAGTGATTCCTCCTCTAATGAGCTGCTATTGCCTTCCACTCACTTATTCAACTAGGTCTTACTGTATTTCCATTTTTTCAGTTCTTTGAGGCATCACCATACTGTTTTCCATACCACATAATGGAGCAATTCTATTCTTTATTATGAGTCTGAAGATGATGAGCACACTAATTTGGCAAGGGATATGCACCTTGTTACAGCCAAGACATGAAAGCAACCTAAATGCCCGTCAACAAATGCCTGGATTAAGGAGTAAGAGAACACAGTAGCCAAAACTGGAACATTCTGAACATCAAAATTATAATTGCAATGAATCAAAGCATATGTTATGTTTTCAAACAATTCTTTGAGCTTAACTGTATAGCAATACCCCCTCTCTACACAAACTCATTTGTCACTATGTAACCAGTTCATTGTTCTGAAAAATGATAGAGAAATAACTGCGTCAGTACCAGTATAGTTGATAAGAAATTTTGCTTTTAAGGCTTGTAAAATAGCATATCACATTTTGCAATCCATTGTGAAATAATAGATAGAAGCAATTATCATCAATGGTTACTTAAAACGATTAGGTGAAAAGATTATAGACAATTTATAATCAGGCTGGCAACTTCCAAATCTCAGTTTAATTCAATACTGAAAAGAACAAACATATAGTGTGCACCACCCTGATACCATACAATAGGAAATACTAACTATACAATTCTCTTAGCAAAATCTCAAACCTGAATCTAATCAACCTTCTACAGGAAGCACCATTAATAACAAATACCCACGACAGAGGAACGTGTTCAGTGTCCCCACCGAGAGCCTATCAGCGGAATCCAGCGGTGGGTGTGTCAGCCTGTGAACCCACACAGGAAATAAAAGACCGAGCTTGTTCAACAAGTAAATGACCAAAACCAAAAAAGTGGAGGGGGAATCTATAATTAAAAGATTTAAGTGATTTATCAACCCAATTCAAATAAATCTGATTCAGATAAATCAGTTGCAACACATATGATGCAGTGAGGGAAATTAGAAAGTAATTTGGTGTTTGATCAAAGAATCATTGTTACTATTATAGATAGGTCATTAGCTATGTTTTTAAAACATGGTATCTGTTACTTCTTTGAGAGACACAATGCTGAACAATAAATGAGAGAATGATAATGCTGAACAATAAATATGATATTTGGGATTTTCTTCAAAATAGCACGGTTGGGTTGGCGAGTGGGTGGGAGTGGAGATAAAACAAGTGTGGTGAGGGCTGGGTGATGTACAGGCATCGCCGGGCCAGTCTCAGGTTTAAAAATATCTTCGACAGACCCTCATTGCTTACAGATGAGGCCCAAGCACCTCAACAGAAACAGAACCCCAGAGTCTCTAATCCGGTCCTTCCCCAGCCTCACCTGCCCTCATTGCCCAGTCCTCCTCAGGGACAGAGGGCCCTGAGGACACACCCCGTATTTCCTTACATCTGGGGATCCACGTGCCTGCCAGGAAAACCTTTTATCATTTTCATTATTTGGTGAACTCGATGGCCCAGTGAAATGTGACTTGAATAGACTTTGAAGTAGAACCAATTGCTCCCTTCAAAGCAGTCCCAGCACATCGGTCCCAACACCGGGAGGAAGTGACACGTACACTCATGGCATCGTGTCCTGGCCCGCCCACCCAGGGCCCATCACCTTGGCTCCTTTGCTCCTCCTCTTACTTCCTGGGAACTGCTACTCTGTGCTGTACTTTGGCTGCAGAATATGGACGAGTAGCTGATTTCTTTTTCAACTTGCTCGTCAATGGGTTCTTAATCCTGCCTGGCTTATTTTTTCACTTGGTCTGACTTCTTTTCCAGTTTCCAATCTGAAACAACCATTCATACCTTTTCTTTCACCAAGCCTCCCATATCTCCACCCTCATCCTCGGCTTATAAAATGATCAGCTCATAAAATGTGCTTTATGAGCAGTGATAGTGAAGGCAAAGATAAACAGCTGGGACTACCTCAAATTAAAGAGCTTCTGTGCAGCAAGAGAGACAGTAACCAAAACAAAGAAAAACCCCACCGACTGGGAGAACATTTTTGCACACAACACTAATGATAAAGGACTGATCACAAAAATCTACGAAGAGCTGAAGAGACTCAACAAAAACAAATAATCCAGTCAAAAATGGGCAGAAGAGGGCCTCCCCAGTGGCACAGCGGTTGAGCACTGGGTTGCGA